GCGCGGCCCTCGGGCGTCCTCTGGCGGAGAAGCCCCTCCGGTCATTCGAGGTGGACGCTGCGCCCCGTCGGAGCGGCTCGCAGAGGGCGACGGGTCCCCCCGGAAGGACCCCGAGCAGCCCCAACCTGGAGCCTCCGGACAGAGAGCGCAAGCCTGTCTTCCCTCCCGCCGCGCGGTTGCGGAGGGCTGGGCGGGGAAAGAGCCAAGTCCTCCTCGGGATCGCGGCGGGCGAAGAACGCGGATCTTCAGGTCCAGGATCCCGACGCTCCGCTCCAGCTGCGGCGCCCTCCATAGTCTCGATCCGCGACCGGGGCGCGCCCCTTGGGGGGCAGAGGCTGCCGAGGCCGTTTCGGGCCGCCTGGGCCCCGCCGGCCTCTGATTCAGACGCTGCGCCGGCGCCCGCGTCATCCCGGCTGGGCCGCAGCTCCAGAGGATGCTATTTCTGGTGCGGCGGCTCTAAAAATAGCGCGGGGGCCGGCGCGGCTCCCTCTTGCGCGCTGCGCGTCAGCCGCGCTATTCATAGCCCTGCGCCTCGCGCGCGCGCTCGCCCGTGAAGCCGCGGCCCGCCGGACCGAGCCTGCCGCCGCTGCTGCGGCTGACGGCATTCCGCCGCCCCGCCCGCCTTGCGCCGCCCCGCCGCGCACCGGCTTCACGCGCATCCCCGCGGGGGGGCGCGCACCCCCCCCCCCCCCCCCCCCCGCCCCGTCGGGTACATTCACAAGTGACGCGGAGAACCGCCTCCTGGTCTCGGATGAGTCACCGGTGAGGTAAAAGCCGGCCTCAGCCGAGGAGGGGCTGATGGCGTCGGTGCCCGTCGCCCAGCTGGTCCGGGAAGCTAAAAAAAGCAGCGCGAGGAACGTCAGCCGCGTCATGCCGCACAGAGCCTCCTTGGGTAGGGGCAGTCTACCTGGAGGGCAGGCCGTGGCAGGGCCGGGCCTCGCTTTGCACCCTTTCCCATCGGGCGGCCACGTTTCCTTGTCAGGCGGCCGGAGAGCGAGGGAAACTCGCGAGGGTGTTTCAAAAAGACCTTTTTAATGCTCCTTCAGGTGGTACTTAAGCCTCGGGACCCTTTGCCAGCCACCATCTGTGCCAGGGCTGGGACCTGAAGCTACCGTGAGGGTCGAAGGAGATGTCGGCGAGGAGAAGGCTGCTCACCACCGGGCAGCCTTGCTAGCCTTCCCGTCCACATCCCCACCCCCCCACCCCGGGATTATGGGTCACCGAGTCAGGGTCAACGCTTAGCGACCACACAGACTTCCTCCAAGGGCACCGGGCACCCCAACAGACATTCCCCCAGTCGCTTCTTCTTGTTATAGGAGGGACAGACGGCTGGGGAATTCTGGGAGTGGAAGTCCACACAAGCTGCCAAGTATGAAAAACAGTGGAAAGGGGCCAAAAGACTCCCTGCGTTCCCTTCCTCACAGAACCCCCCCCCCCCCCCCCCCCCCCCCCCCCCCTTCGCAGCCCGGGCCCCTCGTTGCATCCAGCGCTGCCTCTCAAAAAGGGCGCAGCGCGTTGCAAAACTCGTGGCCGTAAGCAGTAGATGCACTGATTAGACGCAGGAAGCCCAGGCAGGATTCCCGCTGGTGGAGAAAGAGCAGGATACGCAGCCTTTGGGGTCGTTTGGTTCCGCCCCCCATCCCAGCCTCATCCCACCCGGCCACCAGGAAGGCCCCACTCGGTTGAATCCACAGGTTTACGGGGGAGCTACCACCAGCGTCGCTTACTGGCGTGGGCCGGCGGGCTTAGCTGCTTCTCCCCCGAGGGCTCCGTGAGGGGAAGGGCACCGGGCGCGGTGGTGAGGTGGGCTCCGGTGCGCGAAGGGAAGGAACCAGCGGGCTACAGGCGCCTTTCCTCGCGGCGCTCTTCCCCACGCGCGCGGCGTTTGCTTTAAAGCCCCGCGTGGCGTTAAACGACCACAGGTGGCGTCAAAGGGACCCGAGGCGCCCCTCCCGGCCCAGGAGCCTCCCAAATACGGCCGGCTGAACCGAGGGAGCTGAGCGGCGGCTGAAGTCTGTCCAGACTGAAGGCAAGTAGCAACTTCCCGACGCCCGCGAACACCGCGGCGAGGAAGGCAGCTTTTCCGCGGGGGAGCCGGGAGGGGGAGGAGGAGGGGAAGGGTCTCCGCCCCCTTCGTGGCTCAAAGCAACCTGCAGCTCCGTCGTCCGCCTGCTCTGAGTCCCGCCCGAGGCGACCGCGTTTCCCACCGTTGCGCTCCCCACGAGGTGCACCCAGGGCCCGAGAGGCTGCCGTGTAACACCCGCAGACCCCCGCCTGGCCTGTCGGGACCCTTCCAGTTGCCCTTGAGGGCTGACAGGGAGGGGCCCTTAAAAGCTCACCATCCGAGGCCCCTGAGCATTTGCCCCCAGGGGGGGGGGGGGGGGGAGAGGCGTGGCTGCGCGCTGAGCCTGCGCTGCAACTACATAGATCCTAAAGTCCTGGCTAAGTCTCGGCCACTGTTGCAATTGTTTCCACAGTTTCTACTGAAATATGCAGTATTTCTATATTTGTTGGAAACAGTTGTATTGTACCTCTTAAACCAATAGGTTAAAAACAGCAGTGCTATAATGGATAAAAACCTAGACTAAATTCTTAATACTAGGCGAGGTCAGCAAAGTTTCCTAGAAGAAAACTTTTCAGTTGGAAAGGAGCAAAAACGGCAGGTCCGTGTAGCTTTTTGCCTCGTCCTCCTGAGGTCAGTGGGTCCCCCACCAAAAGGCAGAAGGCCGACTGCCCCCCCCCCCCCCCCCCCCGGGGTTTTTTGGGGGGGGGGGGGAGGAGAGAGGAGCTGTCCACCTGGGGGCCCCTTCCATAGTGGTGGGGGGATGTGTGTGTGGGGGGGGGGCACCTCATGCTCCCCATCCTGTGTTCACAGTCAAGGTTTCATGTGCAGCCATAAAAATGCAGGGAATCCCGGTTAAGCATAATGGGGCCTTGCCACGCAGGACCAAACGGGAGATGGGTGCCACCCCACTGCCACCCTCGTGCCACGAGGACTCCTGCCCTTCCCCTACTGGCCCGGGCAGGAGCCTGGGGTGCAGGGGCTTGGCTGTCTCCCCCCCCACACCCACTTTGGGGGCTGGCTGGGGGTGTTTCTTTCCAATCGGCTGTGCCCCATTGCTTCTCCTCTCTGCCCCCTTTGGGCTGGCCCCTCTCCGTCCCTTCCCTAGATGCTCTTTGCTTTCCATGCTCCGAAAGCAGGTCCAAGGGGGACGGAGAGGGCAGCTTCTCAGCTTTGCCCATTCTGGGCCTGCTGCTGTCTGCCCGCTCCTGCCTCTCCCTTGCCCCATTAAAGCTGAACTCCCCACCTGACGTTTGTCCAGCTCCGATCTCACCCCCAGCCCTTCTCTGAGCAGCTGGGAAGCCAGGAGGAGACAGGCCATGGCTGGGTACCTGCTGGCACTTGCCATCCTCGTCTGCATCCAGGTGAGAAACTGGGGGGTTCCCTGGTGAGGGGGGGTCTTGCCTGGGACCCACTCCTCCCAGGCAGTTTTCTTCCAAACAAGGAAAACAACCACAGCCGCAGAATGTGCAACCCTCTGCTCTGGATAAGAGTCCTACACAGTTTCAGGAGACGGGAATTTCTTCTGCCCTTCACAGCTGGGCGGCTTGGCTCCCTGGGAGGAGAGGCGGCTCTGCTGGCTTCAGCCAGGAGCTTTCCTTCAGAAGTTGTCCCGGGTGCTGCTGCTGCTGCTGTTCCCCGTGAAGGGAGGGGCAGAGAATCGGGCCCCTGGTGCTGGAAGCGGGAGGTGGGCAAGGAGGACAAGGGCACCGCAGGCAGGGCAGAACCAAGCACTCCTGACACAGATGGAGGTCAATCTGCCAGGGGCATGGAAAAGGCTTTAGGTAACAGATAATCTGAGTTGGAAGGGACCTTGCAGATCATCAAGTCCAACCCCACCCAGCCCTGCCCAAGCAGGAGACCCTACACCATTCCTGACCGATGGGAGTCCAGTCTCTTCTTGAAAGCTTCCAGGGATGAAGCTCCCACGACTTCTGTTCCACGGGTTGATGGTTCTCACTGTCGGAAAGTTTCTCCTTATTTCCAGGTTGAATCTCTCCTTGGTCAGTTTCCATCCATTCTTCCCGGGTGCCTGGACATCTCGCCTTGCAGGCTGCAAAGGGGTGGCAGCTCTGACCTCGGGGCAGAGGGGTGCTCAGGATGGGTCTGGGTCTTCTGAGGGCTGACCCTCAGCCACTGGAGCTTTCCCAAGGCACGATGCCCGGTCCTTAGTGGTCTAGATCCCAAGTTCCTCTTCTGATGGCACAGCTCCCTGTGAACGGCCAGGCCTACTGGGGTGGACCATGCGGGCAGTGGCGGCAGCCTCTCCACTCACCTATGTTGTTGCCACCTGGCTTGATTGGCAGGAGGATGCACAGAGCAGCCCCTGGCGCGAAAAGCCACTTGCCCCAGCAGGGGACCCAGGTGCCTGGCTGCATCTCCCTCTAGTGGTCACTGGTGGTATGGAGGTTTCAAAAGTTAGCGGTTGCATTGTGACCACCAAGGAGAAGGCAATGGGCCCAGGTTTAAACCGTTCTACGCCAACAGTTTTCAAACTCGGCCACTTTGGAACATGTGGACTTCCAGTCCGTGCTGACTGGGGAATTCTGAGAAAGTCTGCATTGAAGTGCCTAAGTTTGAAGAACACTGACCCCGCCACGCAGACGGAGGACTCTAAGGGCGGCTTGGACGCGTCCTTCCCTTTGGCACTTCCTGGGTCTCTCGTTTTCCTCCCCATCTGTGATGCACCTGGGCCGGGCCCTTTGCTAACTGGGCCTTTCTTCCCCGGCAGGGCTGGTTGTCAGGGCAGGAAGGAGGGCAAGTATCCCGTTCCCCTTCTAAGATCTCATCTGGTAAATGAGGGGCGGGGGGTACCCAGAGCATCATTCCTGCCCTCGAAAAGAGCAGGGGGCAGGCAAGGGACCCCCAGCTCTGCCCCCACCCCTCTGCCAGAGTCTCTGGGCGAGATCTCTGGCAGAAATGCTGCTCTGCCACCTGCATGTTCGGAGCATGTGGTAAAGGGCTCCCTGGGCAGGGCGGAGTCCTCCTGGCCCCGGTTGCACCACGCAGCAGCGTTTTTCTCATGGGGTGGGGGTTGGAGGGGAGATGTGGCCCAGTGGGAGGAGGGTCTACCTGGCCCCCTCCTGGCTTTTTCCCAACCCGGGGAAGGAAGGCGGTTGCCCTTTGGGGTCAAGGCAAGAGGCAAGGAGGGGCCCCGAAGGCCAGGGCGCACCTGACCCTCTTTCTCCCTTCCCCAGAGGCACCTGCCAGCCCAGGGAGGTGCTGGTCAACGTCCACAAGGAGCCCCCACAGGGCTCAGGCCACTTCTTCAAGCCCTCCTGTGTGGCTCTGCAGCGATGCGCCGGCTGCTGCAGTGACGAGGCCGTGCAGTGTTCCGCTGGGCAGAAGCGCACCGTCAGTCTGCAGGTGAGGGGCCAATCCTGCCTCTGGGGGAGGGGGGGTCAGGATGCTCTTGGGGGCCGGGAGGAGCAGAGCCCGGCCTGGGTCTGCTGCTGGAGCGCACCTAACAGCTGCTCCTCTCCTCGGGTAGATCATGCTGGTGAGCTCCAGCACACAGACCTCGCAGCTGGAAAAGGAGGACTTCACGGAGCATGTGACGTGTGAATGCAGGTGAGGGAGGGGCCAAACGACAGCCCCACCCCCCGGATGGCTAGTCAGGGGACGGGTGGGGAGAATTGCTGGAGGTGGAAGAGGACAAGCAGTTCGTGGCTCACAGTCCTCACCCCCCGCCCTCCCCTGCTTGCTTGCTTCTCCCATCTTTTCCCACCCTGCGCAAGGGAGGCTGCTGCAGAGGCCTCGGAGCAGCGGGAGGGTGTGGGAGGGCCCAGGCCTGTGCAGGTTGTGGGGGGTGCCTCCTTTTCTTCCTCCTCCACCTGGAGACCCCAGACCTGGGTCGGGTTCGGTGCCTGCTGCTGGCCATGCAGAACCACTCTCCTTTTTTCCAGGCCTCAGAACGTAAACAAGGCAAAGAGCGGGAAGTGCAAGAGGTACCCGGGGTGGGGCTGGGGGTTAATGGAGTTGTAAGGGACCTTGGAGGTCTTCTAGTCCCAACCCCTGGCTCAGGTTGGCCCGGGCCAGGCGCGGAGGGTGGGGCAGGGGGGCGGGAGCTGTCTCAGAACTGCTTCCCCAAGACGGCTGTTTGAGCTGAATTCCTCTCCCCCCCCCCCCGCCCCCTTGCAGGAGGAGCCAAGGAAAAGGGCAGCCGAGAGCCAGGCTTCCCTTTGTCTGAGCAGCCTCTGACTCCAGCAGCCCTTCCAGGCTGCCCACTCCATGGAGGGGGGGGGGGGGGCCCTGGTCTGCAGGGGCCGGCGGGGGGGGCCCTGGGGGGGGGGGAAGGGGGAGCATCACCAACCTCTGGAGAAGTTGCTGCGTGTCCATGTGTCTCCCCCACGTTTGCTGAACTACAAAGCACATCACTCCCAGCAAGCAAGGCCAGAACTGAAGACCACCCCGTGAGGCTCCCTTTTCCAAAAACCCAGCAACAGAGCTTGAATTTATTTTTCTTACCTCTGAAAGCCAAGCTTGACCAGCCTTTGCCATTCTCCGTCAGCTAGAATGGCTTTCAATACAATTGTCCTGGTAATGCTCAATTTTTAAAATTAGACTTTGATCTCTCCCAGCCCCTCATGAGGGGAAAACGTCCAGTTTCTTTTAAAGAATGTGGAATTGTGCCTTTTAGCCCTGGATCTGCAGGATTGTTAAAGAGCCTTGGAATAAAAACGTATAAACTGCATGCGGCTTCCTTGCTTTGCTTTCGGTGTACGATAGGTGGCGCTGTTCTGTAAGGACTGCTAGTTTCGAAGCAACCTCAGTGTCCTGCAAGACTTGAACCCAGACCTGAGTTTGAGTTCTTAGGAGGTAGTTCGCGATCCCGGCTTGGGGCTGTGACGGCAAAACCTCAGCTCAGTTTCACTGAGGGCCCTTGGGGAGGCCAAACTCCACCCGCCGGGACCCCCCGCCTGGGTGAGAATTCTTTGTCCCAGAATTGGCAGGCGTGGAGGGCAGCCCCCCCCCCCCCCCCGCCCAGGGTCTGCCCTCCTGGCAGCCATGGGAGGGACGGTGCGCTCGGCAGCCTGGAAAAGGGGCAGCTCGTTCCCGGAAGAGGAGCAACCGTGCGAGTGGCCGCCCTGGGCCTCCCTCTGAGGAGACCCGCAGGCTCTGGAAGCCCTGCCTGTCCTTGAAAGCCAGCCAGCCAGCGCCCCCCCCCCCCTTGAACATTGTGCTGGTAGTCCTCAACTTATGACCGCAATGGAGCCCAGCATTTCTGTTAAGTGAGACACTTAAGTGAATTTTGTCCCATCTTATGATCTTCCTTGCTGCAGTTAAGTGAATCAGTGCAGTTGATAAGTTAGAAAACTGGTCGTTAAGTGAGTCTGACTTCCAGAAAGTGGCCAAAGGGGACCGCAGCCACGATCCTAAGTGTGAGCCGGCTGCCAAGCCTCTGAAGTTCGATCACGTGATCATGGGGATGCTTCAAAGAACGGTCGTAACGGCCTCTAAATGAACCGCTGTAAGTCGAGGACTCTCTGAGGCTTCCGGAGGCTGCGGGCAGTCGGGGCTGTCGCCCTCCGGACAGAGCAGGCCGCTCCCACCTCCAGCCAGCCCAGCCCAGGGGGGCCCCTACAGCCAGAGAGGCCGAAGCCCCGGGCCTTGCTCCGTTTCCTTGGCAACCCAGCCATCAAGGCGCCGATTGGGCGGAGCCCGTGAGGCTGAAACTCCGTTTGCCCCCGGCGGATCCTCGAGTGCTGCCCCCGCGTGGCGCCTCCAGGCCCTGCCCCACGTACAGAGGCAGCCCGGCCTTCTGCGCCGGCGGGGCGGCGGGGGGGGACACCGGGAGTGGGGAGGAGCCGCTCAGTCAGCGCACTCTGCACCGGCTCAGAGGCCCCCTCCGCTCTGGGGCAGGGCGAGACCGGGGGGGGGCGAGGCGGGGGCCATTCCAGAGACGTGCGTCACGCGGGGAGCGCGGAGGCCGCCGGGAGTGGGAGCGCGGCGCCGGGGCGGCTCCAGGGGCGCGCCCCCTTTCTCCCCGCGCCCCATCCCCAGCCGGCCTCCGCATCGTGTCGGCTCCGAGGCCGCGGCGGACCCCGGCCGACCGTTCGCCCGGGCAAAAGCCGAGACGGTGCCCGCGGGGCGGCTTCCGAGCGCCGGAGGGGCGGCCGAGCCCCCCCGCAGCAGCCCGAGCGGCAGAGGCAGCCGAGCGCCGCCCGCTCACCTGGCCAGGCGGCGCGGACTGCAGCTCCCAGGGTGCAGCGCGCCTACCTGCGGGCGGGGCGGGGCCTCTCCGGCGGGCGGAGGGCAGAGCGCGGCGGCGGCGAGTCGAGCGGAGCCCGAGCGCCCCGCGGGAGGAAGAGGAGCGGCGGAGGGTCCCGGCAAGCGCGGGCGGAGCTCACCTCCCGCCGCAGGTGGGTGCCGGGCGGGGCGAGGGGCGGCGGCAGGCGGGGGGGCTCCTGGGCCCGCGGGGGGCTTCGCCGGGGCTTCGCTGTCCGGCCGAGGAGCCCGCGGGGGGCGAGGGGGCGGCGGCGGGGAGCAGGAGGAGGCGCGGCCGGACTCCGGCAGAGAAAGTAGCGCCGCGCTGCTCGGGCTGCCCGAGGCGATCGCAGCCGCCGCCGCCGAGCGCTTCCTCCGGGGGAAGCCCCGCTTGAGGGAGGAGGCGGCGGCGGCGGCGGCCGCCCCCTCGGCCGGCTGGCCCCGCGCTCTCTTTCCGGCGCCGCGGCCAGAAACTGCGAGGGAAGCCCGGCCGAAGCCTCCGGGCAGCTCCGTCTCCGGGGGTCTGCTTGGTAGTGGGGGGGGGGGGGGTCGTGGCCTCGCCGCCTTTCCGAGGACTCGGCCTGTGGGAAAGCGCCCAGGGCAGCGCCAGCCCCTCCCCGGCTGAGGGTTGTGGGAGTTGGAGGCCGCCTGGGAGGCAGAGCCGAGAGGGAGGCTGCCCGGGCGGCCCTTTGGCCCCCTGCGAGCCTCTCTGCGCCTCGGGCTCACCTGGGCCTGGCTGGCGCTGGTCCCCCGTCCCTTCCAGGTGGGCGCCAGGCCTCCCCCCCCCCCCCGCGCATCTCCCTCCTGGCAGGACCTGGGCTGGGGCAGCTGCCTCCTCCACCTCGGCTCCCGAGGGGCCCCTGATTCCAGCAGGTCTTCCCTGCTGGCTGCTCCCGTTCAGGGAGGTTCCACTGCTCTCCTGGCCGGGGCTGCTGGCCCCTCCACAGCTGGCCCAGCCTTTCCGGCTCTCTAGGAGCCTCTGGGGTGTGGACGCCCCAGATCTTCTCTGGGGGGGGGGGGGAGAGTGTGAGCCAGACAAGTGAGAATGCAGCTCTGCTAAACCAGCCCTGCTTTATCAGGTGACCTTTCCAGGCGAACCCTCAACACATCAGCCTCCAGCTATTCCAGGCTCTTTGCATGGCTGGCTGCCTGCCTGTCCCTGGGTGGGAAGTCTCTGGGGTGGGGCCTGGCTGCTTCCTGCGTTGGTGGCCGCTGGCTGAGACAATCGGCATTCCGGGCACATGCTGGGCAAACTGCTAGCTGGCCTCTGGGGCGGTCAGACAGCTGTTGGGGAAAAGGCCCTGACCCAGGGTCTGGAGTGCCCCGCTGATGCCATGTGCCAGTCCGTTTCTGGTCGCCCCAAATCTCTCAGGCTCCAGGGGTCTCTTTTGCTCTTTCAGCCGGAACCTGCTAAGATCAGGTGTATGTTACCTGTAGGTCCTGAACATTCCTGAACGGCAGATCCCAGGATCCCAGGCCATTGCTCCTGGCACTGTTGGGCTCCTGCAGCAATCTTCTGTGCCAGCCGTTGAGCCAAAGAGCTGCCCAGGTAGAATGAAATGAAACCTATGAATCTTTTGGATAAAACCGGTCCCGTGATGGGTTTTGCTCTCTTCCCATGCAATTTTCACGTGGAGAAAACCAGCACCAAGTGCAGGGATGTGGCTATTTATTCATTGCTTTTTACCTCCTGCTTTGTAATAAACGTGGCATCAGTGGCTGACGTGGGTGGTTAATGCTGGCAGATTTGAAACAGAAAAGAGGACTTTTCTGCTTCCAATCCTGAGCAGCGGGGCCAGCCCTGATGGATTCTTTGCCCCTTTAAAAAGAAATAGTCTCCATCTGAGACTTGAAGATGGACTTCGGAAATTGGGACAAAGATCCATTTAGCATTTTTAAAATGGATTTAAGTGAAAAAACTCTGTATGATCGCTCACAAAAGCTGGGTACCCTGAACTGATCTTGTGTTATTTCTTGATCTGCAAGAAGAAGAAAAAAAAGGGAAGATATTGTATTATCACGTAAAGTCAATAATGGATTAGGGAAAAGTGTGGTTGGGTAGCTAAATGCTGTTCCCCCCACCCCTGCAAAATATGAGAAATTGCTGTCGCAACATTACACGCTGCTTCCCACTCAGAATCAACGGGGTCGGAGATCTGGGCTGTTCTGCTGTTTTGTCAAGTTGTTGCCGTCCAGATGAGCTGCCGTTTCCTTTCCACACAAGTGGAGCTGTTTGGGCTGGGGGGGGAGGGTATTGATCTAACTCAACCTCAGCCACATGAAAAGGGGGGGGGGACTTCAACTCCCAGAATTCCTCAGCCAGGAGGCTGGGGAATTCTGGGAGTTGAAGTCCACCTGTCTTAAAGTGACTGAGGTTGAGAAACACTGGTCTAACCAGTTGTGCTGGGCCTGGTTGGGAAAAAACTGGGATGGGCCCTGCAACCATCCCATCCTACAGGTGAACATGCAGAGACAACCTACGACGTGGGAGAAAAACCTCATTTTTCCCCCTTGCTCAGTCTGAGAAGTTGGGATTAAAAGGGACTCGTTTTAGCTTCTTCCAGGCCGATTCATTTTGGCCAGAGCAACTTCAAGATCATTCAAGATTGCTTGGCAACTGGCATGTCCTTATGGTGGTTGCCGTGTCCCGGGGTGATCCCCCTTTTGCGACCTTTGACAAGCCAATGGGGAAGCCGGATTCACTTAACGACCGTGTGACTAACTTAACAATGGCAGTTATTCACTTACCAACGGGGGTGGGAAGGGTTATAAAGTGGGGCCAAACTCATCTCACAACCGTCTTGCTTAGCAGCAGAAATTCTGGGCTGCCCATTAACCTGCGTGGATTTTCCTGCTCGCAGCCTTCTGGGCCGCCTTGTGAGGAAGACCAGGCAGAAGTGGGCAGACTGGCCCTCCCCGACCTCGGGCCACTCCTCCCATCAGCCCAGGTGGCTGAGGACGGGGCGGGGTCCCCTCTGAGAGGCCGAGGTCCCAGCCTGCTGCAGGACTCTGGCAGGACTCCGGAGGGCTTGCACTGAAGGCGGAGATATTTGTTTTTAATCTGTATCCTTCCTTCGTGATTTTTTAAAAGGCAGCAAACACAGCCAGGACACCTTCCTCCTCCTATTTTCCCCACAACAACAACCCTACAAGGTGGGCTAGGCTGAGAGGAAGGAACTGGCCCAAAGTCACCTGTCTGGCTTTCATGGCTAAGGCAGGACTCGAACTCATGGCCTCCCACTTTCTAGCCTGGTGCCCTAACCGCTCGGCTGGAAGGGGCTGCAGAGGCTGAGAAAGGCGCTTCTGGTCGGTTCCGCAAACCGGGTGAACTCTGCTCATGCTCAGAGATTCCTTCTTGTTGACTCTTCCTGTGGGTTCCGGCCTCCAGGGCAATCACTCCGGACCTGCAAGATTCTTACCATAAAAGCAGCGCTAGCCGTCAGGGTTTTGGTTTCCTGCCTGGACCAGCTCAAGCATCCGGCCTGGGTCTTTGCAAGCCCGGGAGCGTCCGCCCTCCAGAGAATGGGGGGTCCCTTCTGGGTCCCATTCCTCCTTTGGACTCGGATTTATCTTTGCCTTTCCTTGGCCGCCTTCTGCTCCCCGGGCCTGGAAGAATGCCTGCTAAGCCACTGGCTGTTTAAAATGCATTTTGGGGTGTGTGTGTGTGTGTGTGTGTGTGTGTGTGTGTGTTGTTTTACATTGCAGCCCTTGATTAAAAGCTTTGAGAAGGGCTGTCCAACTCTGGACTTCCAAGTCCCAGAATTCCCCAGCCATGAAAGCTGGCTAGGGAATTCTGCGAGTCCATAAGTCTTAAAAGTTGCCAAGGGTGGACACTCCTGGCTTAGAAATTCCTCGCTTTGTGTTCGGTTGTTGAGAGTAAAACGTGGGAAAGAATCCCGGCCTGGCCTGCAGTTGGATAGGGCACCTTATGTGATCTGAACTCTGAACTTTGGGGCTCCCTCTGTCTCAGCAGCAGCAGCCCCCCTCCAAAGAGAGAGAGGAGAGCCTCTGAGCAAGAGCAGAAAGCTTTCGCCTGCCCGCTTGGGGATCCCAGGCTTGGGACCCGGAGGAAAGACCCCTCCAGGCCTGCCAAGGTGGACCCCTTGGGGAGCTGCGGTGGAGGAGGGAGCGCAGGGGCCCCCGCCTGCCCCTCAGCCTCGTGCGCTGCATCCCCGCTGGGGATCCGGACCCTTTCGAGAGTGTATTTCTGGCAAGGGCAAAGGGTTGGCGCCTGCCCCGCAGGGCTGGGTTGAGGCTGGCAGGGCTGGGTTGGCAGGGTGACAGCACACCACCCTCTGTGCCTTGTGAGGGCGGATTGCATCCTGCATGCAAATCGGGGCAAATATTTTTAGTCTTTGCTCTCGTTCCCAAGGAGGTAATTGGCAGCTTGGCCAGTGGGTGACCTGGCCTTCAGTGCCCTTACCTGGTCATTTGGCTTGTGAAATCGACCTGTTGCAAGAATTCCATGGGGTGAAGTCACTGGGGAGTCAACTTGATGCCCGTTGACTTGCAATCCCTCCGGGAATTTCCTGATTGGCCACGTGGGCGTTGTTGGCTTCCCCGCGTCTGGTTTCGCTTCCCAGTCTTGCTGGGAGAGTTGGGGTCCTGCGCGGCCTCCCATCTGATGCCTAATCAATGTTTCCCAGCTCAGGCAACTCAAGGGAGCCCGGTGCTTCCAGGGCACCTTAAAATGGTTTCTTGGCAGCCCAGCCCAGAGGATTAGGCGTTAGAAGGAAGCGGCTTCCTCCATCCGGGCGCTTCCTGAAAAGCAGCTCTGCCTACAGATGCGTACAGGGGTCTTGGGGGGGGCAAGGGGACCCAAGCCCCTCGGGAGGATGCAGTCCCGCTTCTCTCTTTCCCTGCTGAGTTGGAAAGAAACTGGACTTGAGAAAGAGGCGTGGGAAGCTTGCAATTCCATTGCAACCGTCACCCCATCTTGGGAAGGCAGAGGCATCCAGGAGGGGCAGGGTGTCCTTGCAGGCTCAGGGCTGGGGTGAGGATCAGTACACACACACACACACACACACACACACACACACACACACCCCACGGGAAGTCAAGCAGGCGTAGAGGGCAGTGGGCGACGAAACGGGCTCTGCTGGGCTCCCTTGATGGGGGAAGGGGCTTTCGTGGGACGTCAGGCGCATGTTTCTCCTTCCTTAATTGGATTCCTGGTGCCATTTCTTTCCAAGCGGGCTCTCAAAGGCTGCTTTGACCAGACAAGGGAGCTCACCAGATCTCCTGCCTCTTTGCTTGTCATGGCTTTGGACCCTTCATGAGGACTAGGAACCCCGTGCAAGCCTGAATCCAGGCCCCAGAATGATCCTGGGAGCCAGAACCAGGCTTGTTTTGGGGAGCTGTTTTCTTCCCAGCTAGCCTGGCACCCGGCCCAGGAAGAAGCCACCCTGGGGGGGCGGGGGGGGATCCTGGGGCTTCTCCGCCCTCTCCACTTTTGGCCCCACCCACCCTCTGGCACTCGGCTAGGCGTGTTGTGATGGCGCAGCCCTTCCAGCTCCCGCCAGCCTTGCCCATGAGCCTGGATCAAGAGCTCTTAGCCCCTCCCTGGAAAAGCTACGCCAGTGCCAGCTTGCAAGCAAGAGCCGGGCAAGGCCGATGGCTTGGCAGCTGCAGAGCTGTCCTGGGCAGGGCACGGGTGCCAGGAGTAGGCATGGAGGTGCCACCCTGGGGCAGGGCGGCAAGGAGACTGGCTGGATGCCATTGACGGAGGCGCTTCCTCTTGCCAGGTGCCCTCAGAGCGCTGCCAGCTGCTAGGTGTGGAAGCCCACGTCTCTCGCCATGGCCAGCCAAGACCTCGCCAGCGCCCAGGAACTCCTGGACCTCACCTTCCAATGTGAGTCGGGGGGTGGGGGGCACGCTGGGGAGGCAGGAGGAGGAACCGGCACGGGCTGAGAGGGGGAGAGCCTTGGAAGGGGCCAATGGGGCAGCTTGGCTTGGGCCCCCCTCCCTCCAGGAAAGCCGCGTTCGATCTCCACGTGGAGACCCAGTCTTGACAGCAGCAGGTCCATAATCAGCCCGTGCCAACCTTGTGACTTGGAGATGGGTGGACTTCGACTCCCAGAATTCCCCAGCCGGCTAGGTTGAGGCCCACTGATCCCTGTATCCTAGAGCAGGCGTCCCTCGGCCCCCTCACCAAGATGGCGGGGCTGCAGCTGCAGAAGGGCGCACATCTGCTTCCTTCCAGCCCCCCCCCCCGGAAGGCTGGGTGTTTATGCCTGAGATGGCCACTAAGGGCACGGGGCCCTGAAGAGCAGTAGCCCTTTAGGCTGGTGTACCGCTGCCCAGTGCTGCCCAGCCCTCTCCAAACATAACAGAGAGTCAGCCTCTTGCCCCCAACAATCTGGGTCCTCATTTCACAACCTCGGAAGGACAGAAGACTGAGTCAGCCTTGAGCCGGTCAGGATCGAACTCCTGGCAGTGAGCAGGGTCAGCCTGCAATGCCGCACTCTCACCACTGCGCCACCAGGTCATTCAGTGGTCAGAATGCCGTGGCTGGACCCAAAGGCCTTTGCGTTCCTCTCTGACTGGGGAGGGGGCTGCGGAACGAGGGCCAAGCACAATCGGTCGGAAGAGGGGAAGGAGCGCCTCGCCTTCGTTTGCTGTTCAGCCGGCTCAGCCAAAGCAGCCGCGTCTAAGTGGCGGCTGAGTGCTCCTCTCCGGACCAATGGACTCGGATAACATTGATCAGCCGGTAAAAGAGGGGCACCCTGAGCCCCTCACTTGAGGGGTCGCCTCTGGGCAGAGGGAGACCTGCACCTGAAGCGGGCTTTCTTCCCCAAAGAGATGCCGCAGAGGGGGATTCTCAGCCCAGAGGTGCTTTGCCAAAAGGCAGCTGGACTTCCTTGTTTCGTTTTCCTTGAGAACGTTTTGCTTCTCAGCTTCTTCAGTTCTTCCCTCGGGAAGGCCGCACTTGGAATTCCGCATCCAGTTTTGGTCGCCATAATATAAAACCAATGTTGAGACTCTGGAAAGAGTGCAGAGAAGAGCAAGGAAGACGATTGGGGGACTGGAGGCTGAAGCCTGTGAAGGACGGTGGTGGCAGCAACTGGGCCTGGCTAGTCTGATGCAGAAAAGGGTCAGAAGTGACAGGATAGCAGCATTCCAGTATTGGAGGGGCTGCCCCAAAGAAAAGGGGTGTGTGGGGTGTGGGGTCAAGCTATTCTCCAAAGCCTCCGAGGGCAACTGATGGAAACTGGACAAGAAGGGAAGCAACCCGGAATTGAGGAGGAGAAGAGTCAACCAGTGGAACTTCGCCAGGAGTTGTGGGGGCTCCATCACAGGCAGCCATTTGTCAGAAACTGTACAGGGTTTCCTGCCTGGGAGAAAGGTTGGGCTAGAAGACCTCCAAGGCCCCTTCCGACTCTCTTCCTCGGTTAAAAAACCAAGAAAGTCCAGTTGCCTTTGGGAGAAGCACCTCTGGGATTGTCTAGCCGCCTCTCGCTGGCCTGGAGCATTGAAATCCTCAGCCGAAGCCCTGCTGATGCGCAACAGGCTTTGCGGGTGCCAGGAGCAGCTCCTCGGCCTTGGGATCCTTGGGAATTCCAGCGAAGGGGAAGAAAATGCCTCGGAGGGGAAGGGAGGCAGGAGCCGATATTAGTGCCCTGGCTCAGATCACGCCTTCGTCACAGCAGGCAGAACTGGGAGGAAAGGATCCCTGCCAATGGGTGTTGCCATCGGTGGACTGCTGTGCAAAAGAGAAGTTTTTCCAGCAGGCTCGAGCAACAGTTTGCAACTGCAGTGAGAAAGGGGGACGCAAACAGCCTGTATTGTGTACATGCAGATATGTGGGCGACCGTTACAATTGTTGGTTAAATGGCCCCAGTTGCTCTGAACGTCTCCGGGGCTGATGGCCTCATCCCCACAGGGCTCCTCCTGCCCCCTTCCAGAGGGACCCTGATCCATTGCTTGGTTATAATAGATAACAGATAATCAGAGTTGGAAGGGACCCTGGAGGTCATCTAGTTCAACCCCCCCCCGCCCAAGTGGGAGACCCTACACCATTTCTGACAGGGGGCAGTCCAGTCTCTTCTTGAAGGTCTCAAGTGATGGTGCTCCCACAACTTCCGATGGCAACTTCTGTTCCATGGGTTGGTTGTTCTCACCGTCAGAAAGTTTCTCCTTGTTTCCAGGTTGAATCTCTCCTTGTTCAGTTTCCATCCATTATTCCTTGTCTGGCCTTGGAGAATAGCTTGACTTCCCCTCCTCCTCTCTGTGGCAGCCCCTCAAATATTGGAAGGCTGCTCTCCTGTCTCCCCTGGTCCTTCTCCTCCCCAGACTAGCCAGGCCCAGTTCCTGCAACCGTTCTTGATAGGTTTTAGTCTCCGGTCCCCTCATCATCCCGGTTGCTCTTCTCTACACTTTTTCTAGAGTCTCAAAACCGTTTTTGTAATGTGGTGAACAAAACTGGATTTGCAGAGATCCCTGTTGTTTGGCTCTGCCTACTGGGATGAGGGGGACTGTGCTTCCAGCTTCTTGGCTGGAAACCCTTATCCCGAGCTGTGTAGATTCCCATGGATGGTGCCTGCCTCTTCTACAGGTTTACCTATAAAGCTGGAGTTGGCAGAGGGCAGGTGGACATGGTGGGCCCAGGAAGTAGCCAACTGGCTCATGTCCCGATCTCCAGGAATTTAAATGCAGATACAGCATAGCAAAAATATAGGCAGACATGCAGGGTATTTACCCCTGACTAGCTTGCTTCCTTAAAGGGCAAATCCTGTTAGGAGCCAGGACCTCGGAAGGGTCCAGCTGTAGCACCAGGCCACTGGCTGGCCGCTGTCCATCTTCTTTCAGGGGTCAAGGAGATGCCCCTTCTTGAGGTCTGCTGTCACAAAGAGGCAAACCGAGGTGAAGAGTTCCACCTCCACAGTCACCAGCCATCTCATTCCCTTGGCTCCTGCCATTCTGCTAGCTGGGGGATTCTGGGAGTTGGAGTCCACAAGTCCTCAAGAATGAGGCCAAGGTTGGGCACCCTGGGCCAGAGGAATCCTTTTTAGGTCCAGAAAGCAGGTGGAAAAGGACCCCCTTGGTTGGAGCATCTTGCTAAAGGGGGGGCCTTTGGCTAACCTCCTCCATCCCCCGCCTCTTGCCTTGGACTTTGATACCCATCATCTTATACTGGCCAGGGAAAATGGGTGTTGAGGTCCACCATGCTCAGCAGTTCTCCCTAAAGGTCTCGGGGTGGGGGGGGGGGAGGCCGGCCCCTCCTCACCGGCCCTTCTTCCCCACAGCCTTGGCCTGCAAGCACATGGACCTCAAGCAGCTGGAGCTGGACACGGCCGCGGCCAAAGTGGACGAGCTCTCCAAGCAGCTGGAGTCGCTCTGGACAGACCACCCCGGGCCGCCCGTCGTGCCATCCCTGGTGAGGCAGAGGAGGAGAGGCCAGGGCCCCCCTGTGGTTGTGTGGGGCGGGGCAGGGCCTGCCGGGCTCTGCAAGCGGTTCCAGGTTAACTGGGCACTGCTGGGGGGCGAACTGGGGGTGTTGTTCAGGGGAAACTGCAGCTTTGCCACTCGGCCTCCCCGGGCACCTGGGTCCTCTGTGCCAAGCAAGTTGGGGGG